TCGAGAATAGATAAAAATATCATCAATGAATACTACCATAAATTTATCCAAATATGGCTGGAACAAACGATTCATCAAATCCTTGAAAGTTGCGGGAGCGTTCGTTAGACCAAAAGGCATCACTAAGAATTCATAATGATCATATCTAGTGCGAATGGACGTCTTCGTAACATCAAACCCTTTAACTTTTAATTGATAATACCCTGAACGAAGATCAATCTTAGAGAATACAATATCTCCTCGCAATTGATCAAATAAGTTGTCAATCCTGGGTAGTGGGTACTTATTCTTTATCGTCATCTTATTCAACTTCCGATAGTCAATACATAGCCTTAGCGATCCATCATTCTTTTTCACGAATAACACTGGAGCTCCCCAGAGTGATGTACTATGTCTGATAAATCCTCGATCGAATAATTCTTACAACTGAACCTTCAACTCATTAAGTTCCTTTGGAGCCATGCGATAAGGTGCAGATCCTGGATAAGTCTCAATCTCAAAATCTACCTCTCTATCAGGAGGTAACACTGGAAATTCCTCTTGAAAGACATCATGAAACTCGCTAAATGTACGAATCTTATCAATCGTGAACAAGGAACCTTTAGTGTTCAAGATACAATCAATGAAAGTCTCATATCCCTTCCAGACCATAAGATCAATTTCCATAGCCAAAACTATATTGGAGAGATAGCCTCGACGTTCACCAATTAACACAACAATTCGACCATCATAAGTCTTCAAAGTAGCTTTCTTGTACTCATAATCCAGATTTACCTTGTGTTTATTCAACCAATCCATCCCAAGAATTAGATCGAACTCCTCTAAAGGAAGCTCCATAAGGTCAGAGAGAAAAATTTCTCTCTGAACCTCCAGAGGATAATGCCAAAATACCTTATTTACCAACATAAAATGTCCTACTGGAGTCGTAACCATAACAGTATTATTATTGTCCTTAAACAGAATCTAAAGGTTTCGAGATACTGAACTTGATACGTAGGAATGGGTGGAGCCATTATATAGTAATGCAAAGTATGGAACATAATATATGGTAAAAACCTCTGGCTCATCTTTATCATCTCAACATCTGGTGGCATAAACTAAAGTTGGCTGTCAAGCCTCAGAAACTGTTAACCCTCTATTCTACTGGGGTTGGGCTCTACTGTCTGCCCTGGATGCTGATCCTCGAGCCTTTCCTTGACTATGATCTCTAGTTGGGGTCTGTACTGAAGCTTGAGAATGCATAGTAGTCTGGGTAGCGGTCCGCTCAGACGAAGTTAGCTGTGGACAATCCATCCAAAAATGACCACTAGATCCATAATAAAAACATGTGCCGATCTTCCTATAACACTCTTCTGCGTGTCGTTTACCACAAAGTTATAATGAGGCACTTGAAGTAGAACAACCACCTCTACTAACAGCTGAAGGTGAAGATGTTGCAGGCCTGAAACGTGTATTGCTCCTCTGAGAGATCGAAGTACGAGTCCTCTTCCCGAACTGTGCAGATGATTCAGTAGGGCCAAAAGATTTCTTAGATCGCTCCTGATCAACACGCTCTCTACCAGAAGCTAAAGGCTCCACCTCCTCAGCATTTTTCGGTCTGCCCACTAGCACATCAAAAATCTCATCTTAGTGGGTCACAATCTACCTACACAGCTCATATCTCAGTTCGAGGGCAAATTTATAGCATTGATCTCTCTTAGTGGGAACCAGACTAATGCCATATTTTAATAGTTTCAAAAATTTCATCTCGTACTCTAAGACTCACATATCACCCTGCACTAAGTCCTTGAAATATTGTCGTCTCTCAGCCAAATAACGTTCTCCAAGAAAACGATTCCCGAAGCGCTCTTTGAAGAACTACCATGTCAGACAGACAATCAACTAGGACACTACTGACAACAGACTCCCACCAGGTGTGGGCATTGCCATCTAACATCTCTATTGCACCCATATATCTCTTAGTTGGGTCCAAACCTAACAGATTCATACGTCTTTCAGTATCCTATAGCCAATCTTCCACTTCAGTAGGAGCTCCACCAATCTGTCCTCCAAAAGTTCTGACTCCATTGACAATCAAAGTTTGAGAAATAAGAACCTCAGATACAACTCCAGCAGCTCTGACCGCTCCCTGAATTAACTGCAAAAATTGTCTACCAAAATTCTCATATAATGCAACTCTAGTAGACTTGGGCTCAATATCGGTCGCTCCTCTAATCGAAGAAGTCATGCCTATACCAGCGGTAAGAGGTAGATTCGTCGGGGTCGTAGGAGCATGATCATCTATCGGAGGCGGGGGATCTACACGTATCTCATCGATCGAGTCTGCCAATCTAGCCACTCGACCTCGCCCACGGCTAGTTCGACGACCACATCTAACACTCATCTTAGTGGATCTCGAGTTTACTACATAAGATAAAATCTAGAGTTAGTTTGGCACTTGGAGTCTCGAACACAATTAAAATCGTAAAAACTTTGTGACATGGCCTTAGTGACTTGTTTTGTCAAACATTTCAAAAATGTATTTTCAGTTTGGACTCATACACAGTCCGAGGTTTAAAAACCAAAAGCTTTGATACCAATAAAATATAACCCCCTAGACCCAGCCTATTCATTTTGACCAAGTCTAACAGATTACATTAATGATTCTTAAAAACATTTTTCCTAAAACACGTTGTTCGATAATTTAAAATCATATTACAAATAACATTTATAAAAGTATATAATAATTAAGGATAAAAATCCAATTCATGAATATAAAACTAAAAAGTAACAAATTAATTTAAAACATTTCGTATAATCTAGATCACGGTAAACCAAATGTCAATAGCAAAAAAATTAGTAGTTATAAAATCAAATACTTCGAAATAAAGGCCCATGTTTCAATAATAAAGTCAACTTGTAAGATAAAACATTACATTCGGAGGGACTATACGATATGTTCCGATCCTCCAAGTGTTTGATCCTGGGTATCTAAGCAAAGGTATCTGAAAGGGGAAAACATTTTGAAAAGTGAGCTAGACTTAGTGTGTCCCAACATTATGATAAAACCATGATAGGTACACTAAAGAAGTAATAGTTCAGTATATCTCATAAATCATAATGTAGTGTAGCTTTTTAAACCCGTAGTTTAAACCCATTGTATAAAGAGTTAACCTAAGGGAACATCTTAGGGCCTGAGAGCCTACCCAAGAAAGTTTTGGGGCCATGAGTCCTACCTAAGAACACATTTTAGAGTCGTAGGGCGAGAATGATCTCAGGGCCGCAGAGCCTACCCAAGAGTCACATTAGGTCCATAAAAATTTTTGAGCTTGATCAGAGTTGTACTTTATAAATCAGTATCTCAAAAATACAATTTCATCGCGACATAATTTTCATAAATCCTTAATCTTTTTAATCATATACCAATGAAAACCAATAATCAGATAGCAGTCATAATCCATAAGTCATCACATTAAGTCGGTGCATCAATAAAATAGTAACCATAGATTTTAGTGTACCACATGTTAAAATAATAAAACAATTAAGTAATATATAGGGAACACACCTCGATAATAGGGTCAAACTGTATATCTATTGAGTTCTGGCCTCGCCACGCTCTACTACAGTTTTTGAACTTAATTCATAATAACAATATATTACTAGTGGGTAATATAATTAATATATTAAATTATAAGATTTACGGGTCATACGAGTGAATAATGGCACACGCGGTCTAACAGCTTTAGAGGAGCTGGGTCGAGCTGTCGAGCAATCAGGAGAGTCTCTTGTACATTCAAATAACAATAACTAATCAGCCTCAGGTCTTTATTTAATCATTCAAAGCTAAAACTCTTATGTATACACTACAACAAATTTGTCAATTTATGACGAAATTTCTATATGACATTGCATATAACGTCACAAAATATACTATAATGTGACGTTTTTTTTTCTTTTCGTCGTATTTATTGATTAATGGTATATTTTTATGACAATTTCAAAAATGGTCATTAATTTTCGTCACTATATGCTTGGCGCCAAAATCTTCTCACCAATATTTTTAGTGGGAAACCTTTTAATGACATTTAGATAAAATAATGACATTGTAAAATCGTCTCCAATGAAAAAAAATGTATTAGTGACAATTTATTATAATGACGATTCGATTTCAATTAGTGACGTCGCACATTTGTCACAAATAAGTTTTATTCATGACAATTTAATTCGTCATATTTTATAAGACATTAAAATGACGTTTTATTATTGTCACAAAAAATAGTTTTAGCATGACGAAATCAATATTTGTCACTTATTGCTATGTGACCAGATGATTTTTTTTATATATTATTATACTTCTATGATTTCCATGATGTTACATCAAAGTGTTAGGGAAAAATGATATTTATATTTGATCATAGAAATACCCATAAAGCTCCAATATATTTAGATACATATAACATCAACAATCTTAAAATATAAAATATTACTCTTGTAATAAAAATAAAACAAAAGAAAAAATTCTAAAAATCAATCTAAAAATTAATTTAAGGAATTAATCTAAATCTAAAGGTTTAATTTAAAGTTAAAATTCCGGGACCGAATTTAAAATGACCATATAGCTCAAAATAATGACTAAACATAAACTAAAGTTCTAATAAACCGTAATTATTTAAAATAGAAACTATCTAACCTAGGGATCAATTCTAAAAATCTAGTAACTTAAAACATGTCAAAATTTACATAAATATATTTACTTATTTGAAACAATCTAAAAGGAAAAAAACTAATTTAATTAATTACAAGTCCATAAAAAATTAATTAATTCTAATTAATATCCAATCAAATTAAATAATTAAGAGACTAAATCAAGAAACATAAAACCAACCAGAGTTTAGGATTAAAGCAAAACCTATATTAAACTATGATGACTAAACTATAAAATAACACTTAACCTAAAGTATTTATGCCAAATTATGGCAATTTACGATATTTCAACCTAAAGCTAAAGTGGAGAGCCGCCTCTCATCTAATGATTTTCTCTCTTCACATTTGGTCTCTCGATCGAGACCCTTCACAAAACAGAACCACCAGGCACCGCTGTAAATCCCAATCGCTAGCTTTCTTTGATCATTGGACTCCGGTGACCGGGTTTCTTCCTATCATTTCTTACAACCCAAGCAAGTTCCAGAACCACAACTCTCATCTAAACCTCCTCTCCTTCTACCATCCCAAATCCAACCGGGATTAAACCTTACCTAAAATTAACATAAAACCCCAATGTCCGACCAAAACCGACCCCTCGCTCACAACTCCGATGAAAGTAACCTTATGAAGAACGAAAACGACGCCTAAGGTATGAAACTAAATCCTTCTATATTTTTTAATATTTTATTTTACTGTTAAATATAATTGATTTTTTTGATATAGTTTAGATGGTTTCGACATTTTTTATTTTAATCTTTACTTTACATTTTTACATAGTTATATTTGCTATGCTTTTAGTTTTAGGGTCTTTTTGTTCTTACCCAATGTTGTTGCATTTTTACATAATTGAATATTTTATATAGTTGAGATGGTTTTGTCAAACTCAAATGGAGATTATGAGATTTGCTTTGTTAGCTGTCGGAATTCTTGTGCCCTCACTTCGATTTTCAGGTAAATAATATTTTAAATAAATAAAATAATTATATAATTTTAACTATGACAATTAACTTGCTAATTATTTTTGTAGCTTCAAATGATACCACAAACTCATCATCAACCGACTCGCAGTCGACACAAGATTTGGATTGAAATTCTAGCAAAAAGTTATTCCACAAGTCATATTATTTTTATTTTCTTTGAGCATTTAAGTGATTTTATATTTATAAAAATGACATTATTATGTTTTCTAGTGAAATATTCGTATAAATTTTATTATTTTACAATAAGTAAACTATATTATTTTTTCTTCAGATTAATATAAGTATTTTCATTTTAATATATATATTGTCATATTATGGTGACAATCTTTATTTTTGTCACTATATTAGAGAAAATTGTATAAGGTGAAGTTATGCATAATCATCATTCAAAATACTATTAGATAACATTATATTATGTCACTAAAAACTTGACAATATCTCTTTTGTAACATATAGATTGATTTTATTGTAGTATTCGTGACGATATAAATTATTAATAAAAATATTATATAATTTAGTGATGTAATTAACTGTCATGCAATATAAGTTATAAAATGACGTTATGCATAAGTGTCATTCATAATACTATTAGGTAATGTTATATTACGTCACTGAAAATGTGACAATATCTCTTTCTTCACATATAGATTGATTTTAATGTATTATTCGTGACGATGTGAATTATTAATAACAAAATTTTATATAATTTAATGACGTAACTAGTTGTCATTGAGTATCAATTATAAAGTGACGTTATGTATAAACGTCATTTATACTGCTAATAGGTAACCATGTATTGCGTCACTAATATTGTGATAACTTTTTCTTTCGTCACGTATACAAAGAAATTATTGAGTTATTGGTGACGATATGGTTTATCAATGACGAAAATGTACATTATTTGGTGACATAATTAATTGTCATTGAATGCAAATTATAATGTGACATTATCTATTAGCGTCATTATATGTTTAATAATACTTGACGAAATCTTATACATCGTCACATTTGACATTTAGTGACACACCTAGGTGTCGTTCTCCGTGACGTCAATTTTTATGTCACAAAATACAAATAGTGATGTAAATGTATGTTTCAGTGACAATATTTCAGATGCCACAAATAATCAAATTTGTTGTAGTGACATATGCATTTTTTTGGGTTTGACTGACAATTTGGAGGCTTTCGGCTTCGAATTTGGCAAAACGGACTGCAGAATCAGAATCAGGACGTCAAAAAACATAACATATGTCTTTTCAAAAATTTTGACTTTTTGGTCAAAGTCAAAGGGTTTGACTAACAATTTCGAGGCTCTCTGGTTCGAATTAGGAAAAACTAACTTTGGATTCAGACTCAGGACGTCGAAAAGCATAAAATAATACTTTTCAAAAAATTTGACTTTTTGGTCAAAGTCAACAGTCAACAGTCAACGGGTCGGGTCGGGTCTTCAAGTCAGTTCAAAACTGGGTCAAACTGCCCCAACAGTTTTCGAAGCTCCCCCATGTGCAGGAGCGGCGTGTGAATAGTTCAATCAAGTCTGAAAAATTACTAAAATTATTTTAAGCGATTTTGAGACTTACCAAGCTCGGTTCAAAATTTTGAACGGTGGAGAACTCGATTTCAACACGTCGAAAACTTCGACTTCCTCACCTCCCTCACGCGCCGGTGACGGCGAAGACGCGACGGACACCGGTGGACTCGGAACGACGCAAGGAACACGATGGTGCGAGAGGTGTCGAAAACGGAGTAACGATCGACGATGAATTGACGATTTTCATAGCGGTGGTATTAAAAAAGGTCAAAATTTTAAATCAAAATTCACGTCGTTTGACAGCGTTTCGCTATGATCGGTTTACGGGGTTTTGTTTACCGGTCGACGACGAACATGATGGTAGTTTCGGATCGACGATCGGTGTTCGAACGACGTCGGGATTGGGTTTGAAAGGAGGGGTGGGGTGAGTAAAATTTAGCAATTATTTCTGGTATGAAACCAGAAAACACATTGCACATATTTATCTTTAAAAGCTGCTGACACTCAAAGGAAAAATTCAGGACTTGGTCCCTGAATTTCCTTCAACTTATAAAATAGCCTATAAGTTTTGAAAACTTTTAATTTAATCCCTAAATTTCACCAAATTTCTTAATCATAATATTTTTTCTCACGTGTTGCATGAATTTAATAAGAGAATTAAAATATAAATTAAAAATGTTATTATATTCATAAAAACCCCACTAATTTATCTTAAATTACAAAAATAACCCCAATTCCCTAAAACCCCAAATCTCTAACCCTAACTCATCGACATCATCCTTTCCGGCCATGACCATCATAGGCGACGTAGTCCTTGCCATCTTCCTAGTAATGTGTTGCCATACTTGCCGCCGATTGGCCGTTCGGATCACGTGGGATCGCGATTTGTTGTGTAGGGTTCGTCGGGATACAAACTTCGATTGGTCGCGATTTCATAGGGTTATTGATCGTCGGGCGGAGCTTTGTCGACGACAAAGGGGTGATCAATATAGGTTTAGGGGTTGAAATGAGGGTTTTCAAAGTTTTAGTTTTAATTTTAAATAAAAAAATTAAAATTACAATAATGTGACATGTGATCTTTAACAGTAGAATTGAATGACAATTACGGTCCGAGCAGTTAAAGTGGTAACATTTATAGCGTTAGGCAACTGGATAATTCAAAAAAAGTTGGATACCTATTTGAAAATAAGCGATATAATTGGACACTTATTTTATAACTAAGCCATAAAAGAAATTAAAGAAATAAGTATAGAAATAGACTAAATTAATTGTATTGATTTTATTCTTGTGGTAGATTTGATGTATGGTAGTTATATCTAAATGCCTTGTCGTTTGAGTAGTTAATTTTTTATCGTCTTTTATTTGTACTTTCATAGGATCTTAATACTTATTTGGATTGTAGTGTTTTGTAGTATTTAATTGGGAGTTGATTTTAGAATATTATACAAAAGTTGTAATGCTTTTTTAGTACCTGAATAAAATATGTTTAGCTGTTTATTAAAATGATACTGAAACGACTAACAACCAGTTGGTCTCATGGGATGAGACATTAGGTCCCTAAAGTAAGGTCATGGTTCGAATCTTGACGTTTGTGAATAGAGCAAACTGGGTTGAGAGGGTCGCCCTTGCCTCTGTACTACCAGATCTGAATTAGTCGATCAATAGATCGAATACCAATAATTAATTCAAAAAAAAAATGATACTGAAACGGTTATCAAAATGGGACAAGGGTTTCAACGAGGGTAAATTGAAAGAGAACATAAACTGAGGTGACTAAAAACTAAAACAAAGTCCAAAAAGACTTTGTTCATTGGGTTTTATATCTAGGTCTTAGGGTTATACCTTACGAGGAAACTGTTCTCAACCTTTTAACACAAATTCAGAACAACCTCATTGATAAGGAAGAAGGTTGCAAAGGTGGAGGCCATGACTTTAAACCCAGATCTATCACTTGTAAAACAAAGGAGTGGATAAATTACAAATGTAATCCCTAAACTTCCCAGAGTTCACGAGCAAGGCTCCAAGGTTTATCATATTTTCAATTTAGTCCTCAATATCACAATTTTTTTTGATAAATCCACTAATTTTCAACTTTCTTTCAATTTGATTCGTAAATAAAAAGGGAAAAACTTTTATCCCTATATTTATGTTGTGACTCATTTTTACGAAAAATAGTTTACAATAGAAACAATTAAACCATAAATTTATATATTTTTTATGATTTTTGTTTAAAATTTAAATGTATTATAAATTGATTTACGTGTTGGCTCACAATATTTTTCATAAAAATTTAAATTTCCTTTTAAAATTAAGGATAAACTAAACCGATGGTCTTAAAATGAATTAATCACAAGTCTTCCAATTTTTTAATATTTATTTATTAAAGATAATTTAATTAGTAGTATATTATAAAATATTGTATTTGTGGTGTGTTTCAATGTAGCGTTTTCAGTAGACTTATCCATAAATTAAATATAACTGAAATTTTTAAAAATATTTAACCGACTTAACTAAATTAATTTCAGTGAACGACTAATCAACTTGACTAATTGTATTGGATGGATTAACTTGGTTTTAACGAACTATGTACATGTTGAGTTGGTGTCCAAAAATTGGACTGACAAGTCACAGTAGAATATCGTTATCCTTATCCTTTTCAGGAAACAGCAGCCACAAAAACTACACAATATCGTTTCAGTTCGATTTGTCAATAGAGATTTAATTTTAACATAAAATCAATATATAAAGTAAAGAATTTGGAGAGTTACTTCAGTAACTTGTTTTTGCTGTATATGTATCTTTATTTCTAGGTTAAATGGAAAGTGAACCAGTTAATGCTAGTAGCTAGGCAAGCCCTTCCCAAAGTGTACTATGACTACTATAGAGGTTGACAACGGTAGTTTCGATGTCAAAATAAATTCTTTCTTCTCGGTTAATAAATAAGAAAATTCGTAGTAAAAAGAATTAAGGATCGAATCCACAGGGACTTAAAAAATCACAAATTAATGTTTGAATGGTTTTAACCAGGTGAAAAATAGTAAAATGGGGGGTTTGGTAAAATGAAATTAAAATGGTAAAAATAAATAAAAGCAATTTAAATAAAAATAAGATAATAAAGTTTGTGAATAAATACGGTAAAAATAGCATCAAGCTTCGCTTTGACTCAATTTCCTTTAGATCATTGAATAAGATTTTCTCTTTGGGATTCACGTCGGTTTCTTTGTCTACAAGGGCTATCCCCGTGACTCTATCTTGTATATCGAATACCCAAGGCAACCTTTTATTCTGGCTTCGGGAATTGATTCTATCAGCATCAATTTTCGTAGATCAATTACCGTTTAAGTTCGTGGCGATCGACTTGGATTGTTGCTTCAATAAACGTCAATTCCGATCTCAATTCCCTATTGGCGAAGCTATCTCGCCAAGTGTGTTCCCAGGAAGTCGAATTTGCTTTCTATAAGCAGAATCTTCCTCCCACACATTTAATCGCAACAACCTCTTGACCAAAGGCGATCTTTGATTTTGAAAAATAAGCGCAGAGATTGAGAGAGATATTCCGATGATATTAAGGGTCTGTTTCAATTCTCCCATTTGAATTGAGTCATCGCATCAGCTCTCGGCTTATGAAAAATTTAGCTAAGTATGACAAAAGTCATACTTAGCATTTTAAAAACAAAACTTGAAAACAAAAGAAAAATGAAAAGAACTTGAAAAGTAAAAAGATAAAACTTTTATAAAAACTAGAGAGAAAAAAAGAATGTAATTTGAGTGATGAGTTTAGGCTTACCCCAAGTAGATATTTATAGACTCTCAAAGCTTAAAGGATAAACAAGAAAATAAAATAAAATAATCCTAAGATAATTATTTTTTTAAGTTAAATTCAAACTTACAACTAGTCTCCTAATGCAACTCTGCTCGTCCATCTTCTAGAAGGCGTGCTGAGGAAGTCTTCTAGAAACCGTCGCTAACTAGACCTTCTAGAAACCTCCACGTCAGACCGCGTCATGCCCAGAGTCGTGTCCATGTCTCCAGCCGTGACCAAATAATAAAAAAATACAGAATGCGCCCATTTTGTCACTAATTCTGGAAAGTAATGACATGCACGAAAACAAACATAACACGACCAATTTAGCAGCAATAATTCCACAAAATCGAAGAAATAACGAGCAAAGATTGAAGATTTTGAACACTCATCAGAGGTGGAGCCGAGGATGAACACACACCAAAAGAAAATGTTGAAGAATTCCAAAGAATTAAGTAAGCTGTTAAGCCTGGTAATGAAATCAATGTAGCTTGAAAGGTAAAATGTTCTATTGATCTTGTTACTTCCATTATCAGGATCTGGCCAAGAATCATTGTCGATGTTAGCAGAACCGATTTGTCGACAATTGTTTTGGGCAGGGTTTCAAATCGCGGTCGCGGTCCCATTTTCGGTTATTTCGGATTTACCGTGATTGCGGCCGTCGCGGGCGCTATTGCGGCTGTCGCGGACGCTATTGCGGCTGTCGCGGGTAACTCGGAAGGCGGCGAAACCTCTATATCGCGGCCGAAATCACGGTCGCGTTTTTTAAAACCCTGGTTTTGGGTTACAAAATTTCGGCATCGATTTTCATTGCTCCAACTGCTATGGATAAGTTCGCACACACTGAAGGTTGGAACTTCATAGGCTCTCCTTTTCTCCTATTTCAAGTACCAATTTTACTATTTTGATTGTGTTCTTAACAGGTGAGGTTGCCACAGCTAGAGCAGCTGCTGCATGTAATACAATAATGGTACAAATATAATATAACGTATAAACAGTTTTTTGGATCACTAGATTGCGTTAAATTCGAGTACTGAATTGTATTATGAATGCAGATTTTATCCTACAGGTCGAGTTGTACCATTGAGGAGGTTGCTTCGAGCTACAATGGTGTTCGGTTCTTCCAGATATATGTCGAGTTGTACCATTGAGGAGGTTGCTTCGAGCTACAATGGTGTACGGTTCTTCCAGATATATGTACCGTTTTGCTTCAACATTTTTAATGAATCTTCATTTTTCAGAGCAATTTATCGTTTCCGATTTCAAATCACAAAGCCAAGATTTATCCTTTTCTGATCAGGTATACAAGAAGCGAGATATAACAGCTACTCTAGTGCAGAGAGCTGAAAGATGTGGATACAAGGCCATCGTCGTAACGGTTGATACTCCTAGACTTGGTCGAAGTGAGAAAGAAAGAACAAGTGACATAGTGTCTCCTTTTTATCGATTTTATTTCATTCTGACAGATTTACGTAGCTTCTTTTTATTCTGTGGATAGGGCAGAGACTTTGTTCCCCAATGTTGTAGATAACATTAAGTCATTCATCAACACATACAGCAAACTGAAATTTACTCATTTTCGAAATTTTCATACTTTTTGCAGAATGGTTATACCTCAATTGAAGAACTTTGAAGGCCTCGTGACAACTGCAGTCTCCAGTGCAAGAGAACATATTTTATTTTCCCAACTGTTGCTAAATATGCAATGCTTATATATGTTTATGCTTGTCTTATTTTCTCGGAGTATAGCTAACTTGCAAGTTCAGATTGAAGCTGAGATTCATTGTATTAGAAAGACAGAAACAAGAACTTATTTTTGATTGCTTGAGTTTTACACTTTGTATTGATGACTATATACACAGTGATAGCAGTAACTATAGCAGCAACTGCTTCAAGTTTGTTAAACCTATCTAACCAAATTGATGAGCTGGCATTGCTGAAGCTTCTACATTCAACATGCTCCCTGTTGTTTTGTTTCTTTAAAAGACAAAACACCCAACTTATGCCGAAACAGACTAATATAGTCTTTGGTCAATGCTTTGGTTAACCCATCAGCTACTTGGTGTTCTGAAGGTACATAGTTTACTTTCAGTTTGTGAGCTGCTACCTTTTCCCCGACGAAGTGTACATCCAACTCAACATGATTCGTTTTGGAATGGTACACCGGGTTAGCACTCATTGCTATAGAGCTTATCACTCCAAACCACCGGTGTAACTTGAACTCCAACCTTCAAATATTCAAGTAATGCACTCAACCAAGTTACATCCGAGGTTACATCCGCTAAGCTTCTGTACTCAGCTTCAGTAGTGGATCTAGATATTGTCTTTTGTTTCTTAGAACTCCACATAACCAGATTCCCTCCTAAAAAGACACAGTTTCCTGATATCAACCTTCTAGCATCCATATTCCCTCCTCAGTCAGCATCTGCGAAAGAAACTATCTGAAAAGGATCCTCACTTGGTGAAAACACTAGTCCATAGTCAATAGTACCATTGAGATAACGGAGAACACGCTTGACGACTGCAAGTGTTGCTCACACGGAGCGTGCATGAATTGGACAAGCTTATTCACGCTATTTACAATGTCCGGTCATGTATGACAAGCATACAACAACGAACCAACTAGCTTTGATATTCCTTCGCATCTCCCAAAGTACTACCAGCATCTTTAGTAAGCTTGAGCGATGCTATCATGGGTGTAAGTGTAGGTGTCGCGTTACTCATGCGTGCTTTGGTCAACAGCTCTAGCACATACCTCTTATGGCTGAGAAAGATTGCATCACCTACCCGTTTTATCACAATGCCAAGAAAAAACCCAAACTGTCCAAGATCCTTTAGAGAGAATTTTTTTCCCAAGCAATTTGACCACACTTTCAATCTCAACACTTGAGCTCCCTGTAATTATTATGTCATCCACGTAAACTAGGATGTACATCACCATTCCATCAGCATATTTGATAAACATAGAACTATTTGCTTGTGAGCCCCTAAACCCAATGCTAACAACGAAATCTCTCAACTGTGCATACCAATTATGTGGAGCTTGTCCAAGCCCATATAAAGCTTTTTGGAGCTTGCAAACCAGCATTGACCCGTCCGACGCTTCCTTCTCAAACCCTTGAGGCTGCTTCATATATACATCTCCCAACAAATCTTCATTCAAGAAGGCATAATTTACATCAACTTGCCCAAGTTCCCACTTGTTTTGAACAACCAGAGTGAGAATAACATTGATAGTAGAAGGCTTAACCACCATACTAAAGGTGTCCTAAAAATCTTATCCAGGCACTTGAGAGAAACCTTTGGCTACAAGTCTAAACTTGTATCATTGAATCATAGTACTATTGCGACCGCAACGTAGTGTAACGCCCGCATCGTAACGTTTTTGAATGTTACCGTGACAAGGGAACAAAATCCTGATTGTTGCGGTAAAAAACCGTTACATAACACTGCAGCACGCTATAAATTGCACAGCAACGCCGCAACAGACTTTAAATTATCTGAAATATAAAATTACATAGATGAGTTGTTCTAATTTAATTCTTAAAAATGGATTATAAATATATATATATATCATTAATAATATCGTAATAGTTGTGTTTAAAATTAGTTACTAAAATTTAAATTAATTAAATTATTTATTAACGATATTTTAAAATTATATTAATTTAAATTTAAATTGAATTTTGCTCATATCTAAAATTGACGTGATTAATTTTAAATTAAATTTTTATATTAACATTAACTATCATAATTATATATGTATTTATTATTATATAAATTTTGTATAATAGAGGAATTAACTTTATAATACTATAATAGTATATGTATTTTATTTATTTACTCTGAAACTATAATTTTTTATTTAATCTATAATATAAAGAATAAATAAATAAAATATTATAAATAAAATTAAAAAATGAATATATTCCTTGATAAAATAAAAAAGTGATGGTGTGTGCGTATAGAGACAGGGGGCAGAAAAGAAAACAATTTATGGGAATGGTTGCATAATTTGGGATCAAACCAATGAAAATAAATAAATAAATAAATAAATAATATTATAAATAAAATAAAAAAGTGATGATAATGATGATGAAGAAACTCAAGGTGAAGATATGAACAGTTCACCTACTTCATCTAATGAGGAAAATGTTCAACTATCGACATCAAGTTATGATGATGATGACGACGACGACGACGACGAAGATAGTGGTTGTGATGATCATGGTGGTGATAATGAAAGTATCAACCAGAATATGAACACATTTATTCTATTGCTTTTCATGGAGATCAAGGTACGTCCAGATATCCTTACGATAATAATTCAAGTTTGTATAGAACAAATGCATCACAAAATAGAAGAGATGATGATGATAGAACTCATAGGAGGACGGGAGAGCACTTTTAAGATTCATTTGCAGGTTCATCATCATATAGTTCAGCTACAAATGATAATGAAATTAGTGAATCATCTCATGGTTCTCATTCTTACCAACCAAATTCATGTTATCCGCCTTACCTTGAACAAAATCCAAGTAATGGGTTTTTTTGTCATCATTTATCATACAACATGTTTCCTACCATTAATGCATCTTATGATGCACATAATGTGATGTCTTCTTCACATGGAATAGGGAGGAATCAAAACCAAGATAATGACGAAGATGAAAATGCTTTAGATCTGCCACGCCATTCATTTTGGTGGTGAACTGTAAGATATATACTTTTTATATTTGTAGTTATGTATTTTTTTCTAAGTTATGTAAAGCAAACATTTTTATGTTACAATATAAAAAATTTGATATGATTTTAGTGATATTGTTTATATGTTATTCATTAACATTATAATTGTTATTACCCATTATCCAGTATGATATATCTTCTATGGTTTATATTTGTTTTTAATAAATTTTTATCTATGAAATTAAATTTTTATTTTCAAAATAAAATATTAAAAGAGTATATTAATATTAGTATATTAAAATATAATTGTAAAATGTTAATATTTTAGACATATTGTATTTTTTAGGATGAGATCATGCCCGCGATAGCTGCAATATGTTACGTAACGTCCTTAGCATCCGCAATCGCGACACCCCAACTACATCTGTAATTTGATACTATGCATTGAATATATCCATCAACATTCTTTTTAATCCTAAACAACCACTTACATCCCATTAGAGTCTTCCATTCAGGTAGAGGAACTAGAGTCCAAGTGTTGTTTTTATCCAAGGCTTCATACTCTGCGTTAACTGCCTCCCTCCATTTTACAAATTGAAGTGCTTCATGTATCGAGGCAAGTTTAGTTTCCCCATCTTCATGCTCAACCATATGTAACTTTGGCTTGAAAATCCCACACTTGCTTTGGGTTGTCATGGGATAACTAATAGCAATAAGTGTTGTAGCTGATGTATTATCACTATCTTGATTTACACACTGAGCACTACTCTCAGATAAAGAATTAGCACCATTAATAATGTGATATGATCTCAATTATAAGTTTCGAGTCGTATATATGATTGCCCGATCTTGATTCTAGTAAGAGATTGAATTGCTTGCTTTGAACCTGAAAATCATGACTTGTAAGATGTTAATGAAAGATAGAGATCTAATGGAAATGAAGGATTGATATGGAAATGATTTTTAGGAATTGGTTAAGTACTGAAGATGATGGAAGTTGTAGTTTGGATGAAATGGAAGTGTGGTGAAGGTATGGGTTGGTAATGGCGTAGAATGTGTAAGATGGATTGAAAAGAAAATGGATTGTGACCCTCTAACTATATGGAGTTAGGAACCAGCAATATAAAGAGATGAAATCAAAGTGGAAGTAGATGGAACGTGACTCACTAGCTATAGTTGAGCTTGGAACCAATGCTATAACAAAAGGAAAAAGATGAAGACTACAAGACTATCTTGAAGCTGGTAAAGTTCTACAAGAGAATAAGAATGAAAGCAACCTCTCAAAGATGTTTTATATATTCAAATGTGTGTACAAATGATCTTAAAGGTGCCTATTTATAGTATTTCTAAGAAGCATATGAAATGACTCAAAATATGAAAACATTTTCATCAATTTAGCAATAAAATGCACTTGAATGATTTGTCTTCATATCTTCAAGGTTGGCTGAATATTCTAGATCATTTTGGGGATGAATCTAGACAATTTGAAGCTGAATTTGGCCTTAATTTCATCCAAGAGGTGGAAGACACTTGCTATTCCATGCTGAAAATTATCTTAATAAATGAATTAAATCAGTCTTCATTGCATGCTCCCTTACAGAATATGAATAACCCTTGAATTTAGATGATAACAATCATCTTTGAATGCTTTGAATGGATGAATTAAGAGTCCTTCAATGGCTTGTCACTTGGATAAAGTTGAAAAGACTCTCCCTTGGCTCAAATGC